GATGATATTGTTTATAAACTTAATAGAAAAAATACTTTAAAAACAAAATCATCAATTTGGAGGTATTTTAAACTTGTATTCTGTGAATGGAAATAGCTTTATTTAAAAACAAACTCATCAAGCAAAAGGTGTTTCAACTTTTTATCATATGTTATAAGCATGATTAGCTCATAGCTCATAGATACTTAGTTTAAAATTAACTAGAGTATATATGGCGTGTGTGTGTTTATTTAAAGATACAATTTAAGATATACAGAAACGAAATTATCTTTCATCTTATTTATTTTAAACGCTAAAGCGACACATGGCTGTGTTTGTACAAATGACCGATAACGTGAATTATATAAGACATGATAAAATACATATGAGGTAGTTAACTTTTTAATAATTGGAAAGCATGCAAGGTGAATAACTTTTAATTTGCAATTGTAAAAAAAAGTCATTCATTTTAAAACTTTTGTTAACAGGTTAAAGATTTTCTTATTTATTCTGTAACTTTATTTAATGAAAAAATAAGCATCAAATTTTATTACATATAACTCTATCAAAAAGTTAAAGAAACATATAAACATAATTACATAAACCAAAGTATTGTTTTTTAACAGTTTTAACAAAAAGTAAGCAATCTGTTGAGTTGTTGTTTGATTTGTCCTAATGCAACCCTTGGGTTGTTTCTAAAACACAAAAATTGCAAGTAACATCTGATTTCATTTTAACTACACAAAAATTAATATCATTATAAAAAAAAAGTAGCTATTAAAAGTTTTTTATAAACTTATATAAAAAAATAATTTTGCTAGCTTTTCTTTTTCTCGTTAATTCTCTTTTTTTTTTTCTATGTGTTACGGTTATCCTTAGCGCTCTCCTTGCTGTTCTCCTATTTTTCTTCATCTTTAAGTTTGTAGCATATAATTCCACAAGGTATTAACAAAATCACTGAAATAACTCCGAATATGTAAAAAAGGACTGTGATGAAATTATTTGATGTTGAGTCGTTTTTAAAAACGGTGACTCTTTCACGATCAACACCAAACGTAATCAATCCACATGAGAGACTTAAAGCTAAAATAAATTCAATTTAATTATGTTAATAAAGTCTAGAACTATTTGTGAAAAAAAAAAAACTTTTTAATTTATTAATTTAGCGTTTTTATTTATGTGTAAAAGTTTTTGACTGTTTTTGATAAATTCAATATAAAGGACGTAATAGTTAATAAGACAAATGATTTTTTGTCGTGGTTTTGTTACAATTTTTACAAGAGGGAAACTTATACAAATACAAAGAGCGAAAAAATGACAAAAAACAAAAAAAATTTGTATTGGAAACGCTAATGTTTTTACCTGAATTTTTCTTTGCTGTTTAACTGTTAACAATGTTATCTTAGCATTTTTTAAATAAAATAAATGAACCTAATATTCTTATTTTTCTTGTCAAAAATATTTATTTAAATACTTGTAAAGCGTAAAAAGTCTCTTTATTATAAAACTGTATTAATTGACTATATACTGCAAGAAATTTTGTAATATTGGAAAATTTTTTTAGTATTATGTTAACTAAAATTTAATGCGAACAACTTGTAAAAGTGATGAGTTGATCAAGTATTTTTTGTTTAGGTCATTAATATTTGAATTTTTTTCGGGTTTAGTTTGTAAGGATGAAAATTCTGTGCAGATATAAATCCATAAGCAGATAAAGAGGGTTTTTAAGGAGTTTGGGTTTTGAGACATTTTCCAAAGTTAGTCACAATCAAGACACAGTCACTATTTTTATTTATATAGTTACCAATTAAGACTTAAGAAGCAAACGAATAGTTGCTGACATTATATTGTATTAGATAGTTTTTTTAAGTATTTTTCTTTTTTTCATGCTTATTTTTACATTTTTTGCGCAAATACTTTTATACCATTATTTTGTGCAGTTATCCGTCTATAAGTTCGTTTTGTTAAATACTGTTCTGCATTATGTAAAATACACTATTTCTTTGCCTCTAGAATTTTCTAAGCGCAGTTATATACTCCAAGCGGTCATTCGAGTAAAATCAGCAATCAAATTAGAGCTGATACATTTATTTTCAAGAAGAGTTAATGTTGTTTATTTTTTTAAATAAAAATTTAAATAATTGTTAGTTTGCTATGTATATATATATGTATATCTATATGTATTTTCTCTTAGCAAAAATAATTGAGAATAGAAAAATAAGAAAAAATTTCTTCTGGAATTTGTCAAAAGGGTGTTGTGTTATTCTTCATTTTAAGGTATCTAAATATGTATTTATTTTTCATTTTTTAGAATAAGTTAGAACTAAATTGACTGGTAAAATAGTTTTTTTAGTACAATGTTTCTTTTTTAAGAAAACAGTTTTGTCGTTAGTCTTTTTAAAACATTTTAAGCAGTATTTGTTTTATTTTTTAGAGCAGTTAAGAGAAGCTGATCGCTTTTTTAGTAAGTTCAAGTTACTTTCTCATACATCAACTAAGGTTTCGATTTATTTCAGTCTATTTTATTTTTCTCTATATCTACATATACATATTCTCTAAGGAAAAATAATAAGGAATAAAAAAAAAAAGAAAATATCTTCTAGAATTTGTCAAAAGAGTGTTGTGTTATGCTTTATTTTAAGGTATCTAAATATGTATTTATTAGAAATTTTTTTAAACCAAGTTTAAAAAAGTTAAACCAAGGAAATTGTAGAGGTTTTTTATCAATATATACTATTAATTATATAATAATATTGGAGGGAGTAAGTTAATAAGCATTTTTAAATTTTTAAAAAGAAATAAAAATACTTTTCAATATATATCTGTTTTTTTTGAGGTAGATTTAAAGTTTCAGGTTTTCAAAATTGTTGATCTTTTTAATGTATAAATAGACATTTCTAAATAAATAAGTATTTCTAAATAAATAAGTATTTCTAAATAAATAAGTATTTCTAAGTAGACATTACGTATATATAAAATCTTTTTAAAATTTAATAAGTAATTATTTGTTTAAATAAGTAGTTAATTGTTATAATTTATCAAGATTTAAATTATTAGAAAATTTATGTTTACAGAGTTGTTATTAATCATTATCGAGTTGTTGAACCAAAGAAATTGTAGAGGTTTGTTTATCAAATATATACTATATATATTATGTAAAAAATTTTGGTTTTCATATGTTTTCACTAATAAATAGTTCTATATATATATATATATATATATATATATATATATATATATATATATATATATATATATATATATATATATATATATATATATATATATATATATATATATATATATATATATATATATATATATATATATATATATATATATATATATATATATATATATAGATATATATATATATATATACATATATATATATATATATATATATATATATATATATATATATACATATATATATATATATATATATATATATATATATATATATGTATATGTGTATATATATATATATATATATATATATATATATATATATAACTATATATATATATATATGTATATGTGTATATATATATATATATATATATATATATATATATATACATATATATATATATATATATATATATATAACTATATATAACTATATATATCCTTGGAGTTGCGGCAGCATAATACTGTGTTAGGAGAAAAAAAATTATAAACCCGCGTTAATAACCTGTTTTCTATCGTACATAATGCATTAATAAGTTTTATTACGTGTTTTGTTCAATGTTTTTTCCCAACGCATGAACTATGACGCTGTCGCAATTTTTTTTTTTTTTTTATTAGAAATAAAACAAGTTTTAATAAGTTTTTGCTGATGTTGTTAAAGGTTTTTATTAACTTCTATCAATTAAACTTAAGAAACCTGTATTACTTTTGATGATTGCAAATTGATTTTATTTTGCATTTGTTTGGTTTCTTTATATATAATTGTTTTGAAAATTTTTTTTTTCAATTTTTCGAGTATGATTTTTTTAGTTATTAAGTTTTTTTATTTTATTGTTAACTTTAGATTAGTAAGAAAAAAAGAAATAATTAGTGTTGCTTTGATAAATATGTTTAATGAAAATGATGACATTGAAATGGATGATAGGCTAGATGTAGTTTTGTATTTACAAGATGATGTAAGTGCTATAAGGCGTGTTGAAAATAAAACCCTGCTATAAGGCGTGTTGAAAATAATCGTAGACGAAATGAAAGAAATAGACTTAGGCGAGATGAAATTAATTGTTTACAAAACAAAAGAAATAGGCTCGATCGAGATAATGTTAATCGTCGCCAAAATGATAGAAATAGGCTCGATCGAGATAATGTTAATCATCGCCAAAATGAAAGAAATAGGCTCTATCGAGATAATGTTAATCGTCGCCAAAATGAAAGAAGAGCTGTTGGACAAGGACGAATGTATTCTATAGCGAGAAGTAATGCTATTCCAGATTATAATTATTTAGAAGAAATGAATCAAATTTGTCAGCACTGTGGTGCTAAGAAATTTCCAGATGAAACACATTTTCTATGTTGCCATAATGGTAAGGTAGCTTTGCCTCCACTTTCACCAATTACACAAGCTTTACAGGATTTATTTACAGGGAGTTTTGTAGATTGTAATGCTAATGCTAAGTTTTTAAAACATATTTGAAATTATAATGCCTGCCTTTCTTTTGCTTCTTTTACAGCAAATGTAATTCAACCAATGAATCATGGGTTTCCGTGTTTTAAAATATGTGGCTAGATTTTTCATCGTGTAGGTAATCTTAGTCTAGATCAAGATATCCCACCAATATGTTCTCAACTATCTATTTATGATCCACTTGCTGCACTAAATTTTAGAATGCAACACTATGCTAATGATCTTTGTTTACGTGATTTATTGTTTTAATTGCAAACTATAATTATGGAACAAAGTCTATTTGCTCTTGCATTTAAAAATATGGCTGAAGTAGAAGATGAACAAATTTGTAAATAATATAGAAGGTCGCTCAGCTTCTGTTGTAAAAATGTCTTTACTTGAAGGCGGTGATAGACGTCGTTATAATCTACCTTCACATGATGAAGTTGCAGTTGTATTTGTTGGCGAAGATGGTGCTCCCCTAACTTCCAGGGAAATTGTTATATACCCAAGAGGTCATCCTTTAAAAATTGTATCAAGTATGTCAGCCAACTTGGATCCTATGGTTTATCTGCTATTTTTTCTTAGAGGTGATGCTGGTTGGCATAATCAATTGGTGCATAAACCTGAGCGTGCCACACTGGTTAGAAATCATGTTACATTATTTCAGTTCTACAATTATAGACTTTCTGTTAGGAAATTTTTCTGTTCATTATTTTATGGCAAGAAACTATTTCAGCAATATGCTGTAGATGCATATGTAAAAATTGAAGGCCAGCGTCTTGCTTTTATCAGAAATAATCAAAATAAGCTGAGAAGCGAGCAGTACGATGCCTTACATGAACATATTAACAACATTGCCAATGATCGTAATATTAGACCAGGACGAGTAGTAGTTTTGCCATCATCTTATGTAGGAAGTCCTAGAGCTTTAAAAGAAAACTTTGAAGATGCTATGGCAATTATTAAAAAGTATGGTAAACCAGATCTTTATATTACTTTTACTTGCAACCCAAAATGGCGTGAAATAACAGAAAATTTATATCCGGGTCAGAATGCGAATGATAGACCTGATTTGGTTACTCGAGTATTTAAACTCAAGTTAAATAACCTCCTCAATGATATATTCAAACATGGTGTATTAGGCAAAGTTGTAACGCATGTTCAGGTTATTGAGTTTTAAAAGCGTGGTTTGCCGCATGCCCACATTTTACTTCATTTAGCAAATGATGATAAACTTGAAACATCACAGGATATCGATAATTTGATTTGTGCAGAAATTCCAGATCCGATAGTTAATTGTGAACTTTAGGATATTAACAAAACTTGCATGATTCACGGCCCATGTGGGATACTGAATCCAAATTCTCCCTGCGTGAAGATGAGGTGTGCAGCAAAAATTATCCTAAAGATTTTAATGCCAACACAGTAGCTGTTCACAATGGTTATCCGCGCTATAGCCGTCGTGATAATGGGTTGGTTATCAATATTAAAGGCAACAATGTCGATAACCGTTGGGTGGTACCTTATAATCCTTGATTATCAAAGAAATATCAAGCCCACATTAATGTTGAAGCTTGCATGTCTGTAAAGGCTGTTAAATATTTGTATAAATACATATACAAAGGGCATGATTGTGCGAATGTTTTGATTAATGAACAGGTTAATCTCGATGAAATAAACACTTTCTTAGATTGTCGTTATGTTAGTGCACCTGAGGCACTGTGGCGAATATTTGAGTATCCCATAAGTCATATGTCACACTCTATTATCCGTCTTAAGGTTCATCTTCCTGAGAATCAGATTGTGTATTTTAGAGAAGGAGAAGAAAAAGTGGCGTTAGATCGTGCTGCTCAACGTGATACACACCTTACGGCCTGGTTTAAATTGAATTCTGAAAATGAAGGAGCCAATCGCTACTCATATGTTGACATTCCATATCACTTTGTATTTGATGATAAACATTGTAAATGGAAGGTTAGACAAAGAGGTGGAAATAAGATTATAGTAAGAATGTATAAAGTTAGTCCAACAGAAGAATTATTTTTTCTTAAATTGTTACTTTTACAAGCAAAAGGAGCAAAATCTTGGGAGGATTAGCGTACTGTTAATGGAATAGTTCTTGAAACCTTTCGTGAAGCGTGTGTTTTTAATGGGTTGTTGCAAGATGACACTGAATGGCAGAATACTCTTTCTGAGGCAGTTTTAAGGCGAATGCCTTAACAAATCAGGCAGCTGTTTTCAATTATTTTAACCTTTTGTGAACCTGATGACCCTTTGCATCATTGGAATACATACAAAGCTTTTATGATGGAGAATTTCATTCATCGCCAAGTTCCATTTATATTAGCTGAACAAGCTACTCTTCGTCAAATCAAAAAGATTATTAATCAAAGCGGTAAAACGCTATCTGATTATAATTTGCCTGTTGTTGATGATTCATAGATTTTAAGCTAGAAAATTTAAATGATAATGTTCAGCAATCAATTGACGAAGCTAATAGAATGAGACCGCTTCCTAATGTCAATCAATTAAATGTAAGTAATGCTGTCCTTGCGGCATTGAACGAGCAACCGTGTGTAGAAAATCAACATTCCAGATTGTTTTTTATGGATGGACCAGCCGGTAGTGGCAAAACTTTTACATATAATTATTTGATTGCTGAAATGAGCAGTAAGGGTGTTAAATCTGCTACAGCTGCATGGACTGGCATAGCAGCAACTCTTCTTACAAATGGATCTACGCTGCACGGGTTATTTAAACTTCCTGTCCCAATACTGGAAACAGCACATGTAATGTGACTCCTAACTCTATTCAGGGACAATTTTTAAGGCAAGTTAGTTTGTTTATGCTTGACGAGACATCCATGATTCCCAAACACGCTTTAAATGCAATCGATCGGTTGTTAAAAGATGTTTGCAACAACATCTTTATATTTGGAGGGAAAGTCATTCTTTTTGGTGGTGACTTTAGGCAAATTTTGCCTGTTGTGAAAAGAGGGAGACCAGCTGAAGTTGTAGAATCATGTATAAAATGTTCTTTACAGGGTGCAGAAGTTTACATTAACTGAAAATATGAGAGTACGTGATGGGCAAGGGGATTTTTCCGAACGGCTGTTAAAACTTGGTAGTGGAAAATACCTGGCAAGGAGGAAGATCCTTTTAAAAGATGTATTGAAATACCGCAACTGTGCATTATTAGAGAAAACGAATCAATTGTTGAAAAAATATTTGGAGATGCTTAACAAGATGATTATGCTAAACGTGTCATTTTAACACCCACTAATGTGGATTCATTGTCAATCAATGAAGAAGTGCTTGAACGTCTACATGGAGAGGTCAAAACTTATTTAAGTGGTCATCAAATAGACACTGACAATCTTAATGAAATAAATAATTCCCTGTTGAGTTTTTGAACAGCTTAACTCCTTCAGGTATGCCTACTCATTGTTTAAAATTGAATATTGGTTGTGTAATTATGCTACTTAGAAATTTAGATCTTAAAGCTGGGCTATGTAATGGAACCCGAATGAAAGTTTGTGCTCTCCAAAACAATTATATTGATGCAGAGGTTTTGACAGGTGTTTCTGAAGGTAAACGGGTATTTGTTCCTCGAATTCAGTTGGCTCCATCAGATTCTAATTTACCTTTTGTTCTAAAACGTCGTCAGTTTCCTGTCAGATTAGCTTATTCGATGACAATCAATAAAATTCAAGGTCAAAAATTTGATAGAGTTGGGGTATATTTAAAAAAACTATGTTTCTCCCATGGTCAACTATACGTTGCATGTTCAAGAAGTAGAGCATTTAATAGTTTGTTTTTCAAAATTCATAAACATCCTATTTAAGGTATGGTAGGTGAAAAATACTACACAAATAATGTTATATTTTCTAATGTTCTTAATTTATAGTCTTAATATTTTCATTTCTAAAATTTACTGTTTGTAGGTTGTGAGCACATTTTGTATGTGTAACTTTAATATTTTTATTTTTTTCAAAGTTTTTGATAAATATATTTGTCATTTAATATTGTTATATATTGTGTTTATATGTGTTATATGAAGTCATATTTGTTTATAGCTGTGTATATGTTTACATTATGTTGTTTCCATGTTCTCAAAGTGGTGTGACTTGGCAAAATGTTAAGCAAGATTGTTAACCTTGCCAGCGAAGCGGTGTACTTATAGCAGAGGTGTGACTTGGCACCATTTTGTGCCAGGCAGTGTTACTGCTTTAGAGCTAGGTTGTGTTGTCTAGCTTTTTTTAATTATTCTGGAAACACATAATGTCTGGTAATGCTTTGTGTAATGTGTATAAAAGAGTATGCAACCTTGATCCTTAAATTTAAAAATAATTGAATAACTAATATTGAATATAAAAGCAAATATACTATATTAAAGTTTAGTAAAAGGATAAATATAGATAACTCAAAATTTTTTTTTTAGTTTTGTCTTTCATATTCTTTTAAAATTGGTTTGTTATTTTCCACTGGATTTTAGAGTCACGGGTGTAAATATTAGTTATATAGGTGTGAATATGTGTTAAAGTTATGTGTTATTGTTACAATGTTGTAATGTATTGTTATAATGTATGATATTGTTATATTATTGTGATGTTTTGTGTTGATAGACAGTTTGGCTTACCTTCCCGTTGGTGTCTATCGTTAAAAATGAATAATAGATAGTTTCATTATTGGAACTTGCTGCTTTTATTCATTTACTAAAAGCCAAGACAAAATCTTCCTAAAAATTCAATTTATGTCTTTATTTGATTTTTTTTTCTTTAGTATTGTTAATCCTTTAGTACTTCGAAAAAGATAACATCATATATATATATATATATATATATATATATATATATATATATATATATATATATATATATATATATATATATATATATATATATATATATATATATATATATATATATATATGATGTTATAATTCCATTACTTTTTTTTATTTTAGATTTTACCATATGACGTATTAATACAATATTAAAAAAAAAACTTGATTTCCTAAATTTGTAAAATTTTGTTCGTTTGTTAAAAAGATGTAAAGACATTAATATATATATTTTTTTCCGATGTTTACCCTATCTTATGCTTTAATAAATCGTTGTTAAAAACACAGGGAAACTTGCAGTTTGTCAAATATTAAGTTGATTAGTTTAGTCTGCAATTGCAACACTTTTGAGGAAAGAAAAAATTCTTATATATGTAAATCGTTGTTTTACGCTTTATTATTTTGGTAAAAGGTCTTCATCATAAATAGATTACTCTTAATAAAAAAAACTCTACTCACATGGCTACCATTAAAACAAAAAAAGGGGAGGGGCTCTTAATTAGCAGAGATGTCAAAATATTGACGACACCAAAACTTCGAGTAATAAAAGGAATATTTAGTAAATGGCAGCAAATTACTTTACCGTTTGCAAAAAATTATTGAAATAAAGAGGCCATCTATTCAATATAGAAATAATCATAGTTTAGAAGGCTTAACATGACCGGGTCCGGTTAGCTTTGTTTGCAAACATGAGATTATGTTGCGTTAACAACCTCAAAAGTCAATTTAAAACATGTTTAGTAGCAAAATGTGATATATACAAGTATAAATGTGATAGTATAGTAATACTCTTTTATCATTTTTTAGCTAATAAAATGGATTTAAGACTAGATTGATTTTTGTTTCCTGTTAAACCTCAGTAAATAAAAATTAGAAGGCTTTTGGCCGCGACAGAATATGCGACAAGTTTGTATTAAACTCATTTTTTTCAATTTAAATGCCTATTTAAATCAAAGTACATAATTTTTTTTATTTTTTGTTGCAAATGGACAATATAAATTTTTTATAACGTTTACACTTGAACAGTATTTTTACTCTTTAGTGCATTTGTAATAAAAGCTGCCAATTTGTCAGCTACCTCTGCAATAAACTTCGTATAGCGGAAGATGAAGAAGAAGAAAAATAGTTGGAGTAAAGAGACAAGTAATGTTTTGCAAAAAAAAAACACCAAAAATTTATGTTTTGTGTCAAAAATGGAATTAAGACAAGTTAGCGTCTAAAATTATCTATATGTACAGATATGTTTATTGCACTTATTAGTAAATAAACTGATTAGTTGCGTAATGAGTTTAAATTTTAGCCATTTTTTAAAGTTGATAATCATAACGTACTTAATTAAACATGCGTGATGTGATTTGCATAGCTAAATTAAATGCTCTTTTACTTTAGTTACTGCGCTAAGTGTTGCGCAGTTTGGTTTGTGCGCAGTTTTTCTACTGTTCTGGAATTTCGAGATTGGAATTTCCAGAATTTTAAAAAGCGCGTTTTCGTTATTAATTTTTTTTACATCTAATCGTACCTATCAAGTAGGTCATATTCAGTATAATCAATTCAATCGTTTTCATTTTTTATGTTTTAACATGCCTATTACCTTTATTAAAATTGTTTTTGAGCATATTTTTATTTATTTTTTATATCGAATTAATAGAGTGAATCAGATTGAAGATGAAGGTTTGTATTTATTTAGATGTGTATTATGTTACAGATGTATAATGTTATGTTGTTAGTTCTTAAATATATGTTTATTTTTAGTTGCTGAATTACTAAGAAGTAAGTTTTCTTTCATTTTGTTATTAACAAATGTTATAAATTGCATTTATATGTTTGTTAATTTAAATTAACTTTACAATATTAAAATGGTTTAAACGAACTTAAACGAACTTTTGTAAATGAATTTAATCCTCAAAGATTAAATTTTTATTTATTATTGAAGAAATTAAACTAGATTTAAGAATGAGTCGACTTAAATGTTTGTTTGTTTTTCTATTTAGATGATGACAATATTGAAGCAAGTAAGTTAAAAAGCATTTTTAAATTTTTAAAAAGAAATAAAAATTCTTTTCAATATATATCTGTTTTCTTTGAGGTAGATTTAAAGTTTCAGGTTTTTAAAATCATATATATTATAAGATTTAAGAATGAGTCGACTTAAATGTTTGTTTGTTTTTCTATTTAGACGTTGGTGATAATATTGGAACAAGTAAGTTAGAAAGCATTTTTAAGTTTTTAAAAAGAAATAAAAATACCTTTTAATATGTATCTGTTTTCTTCGAAGTAGATTTAAAATTTCAGGTTTATAAAATCATATATATTATAATATTAAATTCTTTTTAACTTTAAAAATATCCATATTATAGTTACACTGAGTCGTAGAAAAAAAGTTAAAGTTTATTAATAAGGTAGTAGATTATTAGAGTAGATTAAATTGTTTGATCTATTAATCAACTTAATAACGTACTATTAAAGTAAAGATTTATTTTGGTTGTTTGTTAAAATTTAGTTAGAGTTTATTTAAAATTTAACTTCTTTAGTTAATCAAGAGAGATCTAATAAAGGTATTAATTACATTAGTTGAATGTAGCATTTAATATGCATTTTATCGATATTTTAACGTCTAAACATTAAAGTGCTTTTATTGTTTAGATACAGAAGTGGAGAAGCAAATAAGTCAGTGTTTTTGCTATTAGATATTTGTTAATAGGAGTTTGTTTATTTGTACTGCCACTGGAATTTTAAAAAATCAATTTCTTTAGCTTTTTTTTTATACTTTCTATTAGGGGAGTTGGAACAAAAACTAAGTATAAATTATGATTAGTTTAGTTTAATAAATAAAGCATTAATATTTAGAAGATTTAAAGTTTACTTTAGTTTATAGTTTTCGTTTAGTTTATAGTTTTGTTTTTAGCTTTAGTTATTTTTTTCTTACTTTTGACAACTTTATGGATGAAATGAGGGGGATGGGTAAAACAATTATTTAGATATGTATATATTTATATGTTAACATTATTTTATCGATTATTATATATTTATTTAAGTATATATATGTCTTTAGTGTCAGGTGGAAGTATAGCTGGTAGGATTGTGTTTTATATTTTATATATTTTATATAGAGAAATATATGCAATAGGTGAAAAAATTAATTAATAAATATGACACTTTTGAACTGGTTGCATTATTGCCCTATATATTTATTCAAATACAAAATATTGCATGTTTAACCTTTATTAATTTGCTCTCTTTTTTTTTTTTTTTTTTAGCATCTTCTGTTTCGAATGAAAATGGTGAGGTTATGCTGATTTTTTTTTTTTTTAATAGTTGCAAATGTATAATTTTTATTATACTCTTCTATTTGTAACTTTAGATTCCTTATCATTCGAACATTACCAAAATTATCGCTCCCAACACCCGGGACCTCTCTCAGAGAGGTCCTTCAATAAATGGAAAGATCATGGCGGAATGGATAAGCCCTCCTTTAAATGGAGGGCTCATCCATACCGGGGTGTTGGGAGACACCGAAGAAAAAACAGCAACCAAAAGGTTGTAAATGTCTTCTATCAGTAGAGATATTTATGACTTTTAAGTTGCTGCTTTTTCTTCGTTTTTTTTTTTTTAATTTTGTAATTTTTTGTTTCGGTGTTTTTTTTATTATAATTTTGAAATTTTTTTTTTAAATATATATTACGTTGTATATTTGATTTGTTTTAATCTTTTTTAATAAAAATTTTAATTGTTTTCTCACCAATTAAACCTGACTTCAAGTTTAAAGCCCTCTTAAATACCCCTCCCTATATTCTAAAGTCGAAAGTTGAATTGATTCATTATCCAATTATCATAATATAATGATGCTGCATTCTTTTGTTAAAAACAAATATTTGGTACTGCTTTTAAAATTTACCAAAACTCAAGGCAATATATTTAGCTATATAAATACAATTTATTTATCTTGATTCCATTCTTTATCTTTTATGTTTATAGTTTGGCTCCTTAAAGCATTTTATCTTTTGCTCTTTTTATTATGAATATTTTAAATCCGTTGTGATGTCTTTTAAATTAAACTATAGTTTACTAAAAGCCAACATAAATATTACGTTTTTGAACAACACCAAAAAGAACAGCTGCATCCCTACAGCAACTGCTGCAGTATCACAATAGGTTACCAAAAGCAGGTATATTTTTTCCAGTTGTTGTTTTTTTTTTTTCATATATATCTACTTTTTATATAATACTATAGTACGATTGTTTATATCTCATTCATTATTTTTTTCTTTATCTTTAAGTGTTAATAATTTTATTTTTTGAATGATATTAGTTAAACAAGTCGGCTTTTCATTAAAGATATTGGTTTCAAAATTGAACATCATTGGCAAAATGCTTACAAAATTAGGTAGTTTTTAAAAATCTGTTTTCTATTAAATACACTTTTTTTTAAATATACTTTTTTAATATACTTTTCTATAACAATTCTACTAATACGGAATCACGTAGCTTTT